CAGCGCTCGCGGTCCCTGCAGCCGGAGCAGCGGGGCGCAGCGAACGGTAACTGGCGGCGCGGGCTGGGGGTGGGTGGTCTGGACGCCCCGAGAACCCTGCGGGGAGGGGTGGCTGCCCTCCTCTCCTGCCTCCCCCGGGAGGCTTCCGGGCCACCTCTCCTGTCCCAGCGATCGGACACCCAGGTTTCCTTCCAGGATTGGCAGCTGTGTGACGTGGTGAACCAAGCCTGGGTTGCAGCGTTCTCAAGCTGGGTTCGAATCCCATCTCCCCAATTACCACGCCATCTCACTGGGACACTTCCCTACCCTTCTAACACCTCTGTTTCCCCACTTGTGAAACGAGTGTGTTCATACCTCCATACAGGGGTGTTGCAGAAGCACCTTGGCACTAACTCTCTGACGGCAGCAAACATTTGTATAACATTTACTATGTGCCAGGCACTGTTCTGGTGCTTTCCATGTATCAGCCCATTTAACTCCCCCAGTACTAGGAGGAAGGTAATATTATTACCCCTATTTACAGATGTGGAGACTAAGACACAAAGAAATGGACTAACTTGCCTTAAGGTCACATACAGCAGTTGACAGAACCAGGATCTAACCTACTACACTCACTGCCTCTGGCACAGGGGAGAGGGGTGTGGGGGGAGGGGGGGTCCAGGTAATGGCATATGACTTTTGGACCACTTGTGACACCTCTCCCAGCCCACAAAAGATGTTCTCCCAACCCTACCCTATGACTTAAAGTGTCTGATAATTCTTCTGACCCATGACCTTGCTGGGGCAAAGGGCTTCGTTTGATCAGCTTTCAGACTGCTTTAGTTTTTCTTAGGTACCTTGCTCCCTGCTAAGTGCTGTGGAGTCCCCTAGCCTCGAGTAGTTTGTATGTGATTGAAGACACAACCTTATTTCCTCATCAGTTAAATGTTTAAGTACCTCCTCAAAAGAAAAATGAGGCTGCCCCTAGTCTTAAGGAGTGTGTGGGTTTCATGAGAGAAGCAGGCTTAGACACAGACTATATTAAGGGGTGGACACTGAGAAAGGGGAAAGAGAAGGGGGCAGGCTGAGCCCACTGGAGCCCTGTGTCCTGGGTGGGGACAGGCAGGCTGCTGCCAATTCCCATGTGGAAGTCTGTATGGATGGGAGATGGGAGGGCCAGCTGGAGGCACGAGCCAAACTGTTCAGTAGATGATGACGGGGTAGTGAGGACAAAGGCATGGGAGAAGACCCCAAAAGTAAGTCCCCTACAGGAGCTTGCCTGCAGGAGCTCCCTTGAGGATGCTCACTGCCACTGTGGTGCTGGAGGGAGCTGGAAGAGGCCTGGGGGTCCATCATGGGGGAAGTGGATAGGAGAAGGGCGGGGATGCCTACAAAGGGGCTTACTCAGATGACAGATCCAGTGGGTGAGATGTACACAGGGCAACACGAATGACGTTTACAAACACTGAATGCACGTTTGGCAAGCCACACACAAATAAAAAGAAGCACATCAAACACATGGAATAGTTGACTATGGTGTGGAACAGTGGAGTGGGACACAGAGTTAAAAGGAAATGAGTAACTAGAATCAAAGAGAGGTCTTATCCAGACAAGTGTCTGTCCTGAACTGGAAAAAAAAAAAAAGAAAGATTAATTTGTCCCTATGCACCCAAGGCCTGAAAAGTGGAGGTAGGGAAAAAATACAAGAGAAACAAGAGAAAGCTCAGGTCTAACCTGGGTCCTGTTACTAATTTGCTGTCTGAACATAGGCAAGCCTTGTCACCTCTCTGGGCCCAGTTTCCATCTGTTTAAAAAAAAAAATCAATTCTCAGATCTCTTCCAGCTCTAAGTTTTTATGAGCCATGGTAAATAATCTTGGGCCACTTGGTAAAGAAACCAATACAAGCTTTATGGAGTGCTAGGGCTTGAACCTTAGAGAATGGGGCTTGGGGAGAGGTAAAGAAAGGGAGGAGAGCTCTCAGACAGGGGAAACATTGAAAGCAAAGCCATGAAGATTACAGCGGATGGTTGTGTAAAGTCTGACCCAGGGCTCAATGTATCAGGCGGGGCCTGAGCCCAGCTCTCCCCTGGGACTTCCTACCCTGGCTGGGGTACCACCTACAATCCAACTGCCAAGTCAGAGACCTTCCAGTCCTCCTAGTTCTATATTCACCAGTTACCAAAGAACTCGCAAGCCCACCCCCACTCCCACTCCCACTATAATGCTGCTTTAGTCCAAGGCTTTGAGCCTGGACTCTGCTCTGAACCATCCTTCCTCCACTCCCCCTGAGTATCCTTTCTACACCTCAAGACTGACCACATCACTTCTGGATGAGTGATCCTTCCATCTTCCCTGGCCTCAGCTGAGGTTCTTCATCCTTGTTCTGCTGCTATACCTTTCCAATACAAACACAGCCAACAGCAATGGCGCCCAACACAATGATTCTCATCCAGAGATGATGTCAGATTCTAAAGTCTTGAGAAGAGGAGACAGTGGGTATCCGTCAAGGACACAGCCTTTATCATATCATTCAGGGCATTTAGAATGATGCCCCTGAACCAGCACCTCCCACTGTTTCAGCTCTGATTCCATCACTCCCTGCCCCTCACAAGTTAAGTTGCAAACAGTGTGAACACATCAGGTATGCCCACAGTTCTGTAGCTTTGCACGTCTTAGTCCCTCTGCCTGGAGTATACCAGTTCCTCCACCACCAACCTGGTCTGCCTTGCAAATCCTACTCACCCTACCAAACCCAGCTCAGACGCCACCTCCTCTGAGCAGCCTTCTTTACTTCCTCCTTACCCAGACAGAACTAATCACCCCTTGTTTTCGCTACCCTGCGCCATGAATATGCCTGAAGCTTTTCACTTCTCCCACAGGGTTGTAATTGAGTCCTGGTCTGTGTACCTGATGGACCCCCAATAGGCTGTGAATTCTTGCAGGTGTTCACTGCTTGGTGGATTAATCATTGCACCCCCTGCACCAGCACAGTACCTACACATGGCGCCAATGGTGCAAGTTTGTTCCATTGGGTTTAATAGGTGTTTGGCAGGTAATGGCTCTTCCTTTTCACTCTCTGCAGAAAACAAGTGATTGCTTTTCTCTCCTCATTTTTGGAAGCCCTGCCTACCACTCAGCTGTAGTGGACATCCTGGTTCCTTGATGGACGAAGAAAGCCAATTGATCCAGCCTCAAGACCAGAGCTGCTGGGCCGCTCTGCCCGATGTGTGCCTGCGTCGTGTTTTCTGGTGGCTGGGAGACAGGGACAGGTCCAGAGCAGCGCTTGTCTGCAGAAAGTGGAACGAGATAATGTATTCAGCTGATCTCTGGCGATACAGAACCATCACGTTCAGTGGGAGACCTTCCAGGGTACACGCGTCCGAATTCGAGTCGGCTCTTTGGTATGTGAAGAAATTTGGTCATTATCTGGAGCACCTGGAGATCAAATTCCTGAATCCTTACAACGCTGTCCTAACCAAGAAGTTCCAGGTCACCATGCGAGGGCTTCTCTCATGTCTGGGCAAGAGTAACAACCGTCTGAAGTCTCTCTCCATCCAGCACCTGGAACTGGACCGCCTGGTCTGGAGGAACAGCATCAGGAGCTCGTTCATCAAAAGCCTGAGCTTCTTCTTGAAGAAGATGGGCAAACACCTGGATTATGTCAACCTGAAGGGGGCCAGGCTCACCGTGGAGCAAGGCTGCCACATGCTCAACTCCCTGAGCTACTTAAGGAGCAAGAGCATGGTGTCGGAGCTCAACATTGAGGACTACTTCAGTCACCACCTCGCCGTCTACAGCAGCCTCCAGTTCCACAAGACCATGGCCACGTTCCGCA